CCAACAGTGCTAAGCATGTTGCTGATAAGAACAAATGATGTTTTGAAGTCATGAAATTTTCGATGATCCACAGGTCGAAATTTGAGGTTTACCGAAAAAGATTTTTCAAAAACTCATTTGTTCTCATCAGCAACATGCTTAGCACTGTTGTGTTAGATGTTCAGTACAACTTTGGAAGGTTTTCGTCAACTTCGGAGAAAGAAAAATGACTTTAAAGAGAAGCGCCGGGGATCATCAGGGATTACACAAAAGCTGGAAAATGCGGTTTGTACAGCTTCTCGCTCCAGTTCAACATGTTCATAGTGAAGGATAGTAGGAATACTTACGGACAGACAGCGTGACCAGATATCTGGAGCTTCAGAATATGAAGCTTTCTTTTAAGCTGCAATCCCCTCCCAGCGGGAATGTTAGTGCATGCGGCCCTAAGAGGCCAAAATTTTCAACGAAGGAAATTTTTTGTCGCAAGAAGCTCATGGGTCTGTCTTTCCCTCGAGACCACTTTTCTGCCTCCAGAGGCAGAAGTCTGGTTTTTGCAGAGTGGAATGGCCACAAGTGAATTTCAAACAAGTTTCTGTATGAATAAACATTTATACTCGGAAATTTCTAGCGAAAGTATCTTGCAGGCTGAACTTATGAGTCTTTTCCCCTCCAAACCAAGCTATCTGTGCTGTTTTGCTTTTAGGGGTAGAAGTATGGGTTTTGCAGGGTAGAATGGCCACAAGTGAATTTCAAACAAGTTTCTGTATAATAAAACATCGACACCCAGAAACTTCTAACGAAAATATCTTATTGCCTGAAGCCATGATTCTCTCTTCCTTCGAGATCAAGCACCCTGTGCTTTCCTGCTTTGAAGGCGGAAGTACTGGTTTTTGCAAAATAGAATGGCCGCAAATGAATTTCAGACAAGTTTCTGTATAATAAAACATCGACACCCACGAACTTCTGGCAAAATATCTTGCTGCCTGAGGCCATAATTCTTTCCTCCCTTGAGACCAAACTCCCTGTCTTTTTTGCTTTTAGGGCCAGAAGTGTGGTTTTTGAGTTTTGTGGCTTTTTCGAAGTTTGGGGGCCAAAAGTTTCAGTGAAAATGTCCTGTGGGATGAAGCTCTTGGGTCTGTCTTTCTCCAGAGATCACTTTTCTGCTTTCAGAGGCAGAAGTATGGTTTTTGCAGAGTTGAATTCAAAGAAGTAAATTTCAAGGAATTTTCTGTATAATTAGATAATGACTTATAGAAATTCTTAGCGGAAATATCTTGCCGCCTCAGTTTATAAAGTTTTTCTTCCTTCGAGACCAGGCTCTTTGTGGTTTTCTGATTTTAAAGGCAGGATTTTAAAAGCTAAGGGGGGCAAAAGTGAATTTATAACACTTTAGGTAAATTTACCGTCTTCGTCAATTCCGAGTGATTATAAAATTCTCAGCATGCTCACTTACCCCCGGACCAGTGCCATCTCAGCCTCGTAGCTTCGAAGATTAAATTAATAAACTAATGGGTATTCTCAAAAACGACTATCTTTGCAGTGAACCTGCTCACATACAGCTTTGTGCCAAATGCCAGCCGTGTAGCTCTAATTTTACAAAGAATAGAAAAATAGACAGAAATAACAGGTACTTTGCAGAACACTTATTACAGTCGTAATAGGCATGCTCGCTTTTTCCCATGTGCCAAATCCCAGTCCCATGGCCTAAACTTTGCAAGAAATCGATAAAGCTAGTGAAGGTAATTGATAACTTGTAAAATAAGAATGTGTTCATGAGCAGCATGCTCAATTACCTGCCTGTACCAACTTCCAGCTCCGTGGTTCAAACATTGCAAAAAATCGATTAAACCAATAGAAGTAATGAGCCTTCTTGAAGATGGTTATCATATTCGTAATCAGTATGTTTGCCTACCCCCTGTGCCAATTCCCAGCCCCGTAGCTTGTTTGTCAAAAAATCGATAAAATGATAGAAATAACTGATAATTCTAAAAACTAATATTGTATTCGTAATCAGCATGCTCGACTCCACCCTGTGCCAAATTCCAGCCGCGTAGCTTGAACTTTGAAAAATCGATCAATTTGGTAGAAGTAATGTACGTTTATTTTTATAAAGGATGTTGAAACCTGCTCAACATCCATGACCGCGAACCCCTCTGCCAAATCCCGGTCCAGCTCAAATTTTGTAGAATCGATAAACTCCTCCAGAGTGAAGCCGTTACCAAATTCCCACATAAACGTTTCCATACTGAAAAGGACAGACACGAAAACACCATCGACCATAAAAACATCATCGAGGAGGTACAGACACTTATCCACCAACGTACAGACAAGTACACCATTCGGTTTTATATATATCTAGAAGGATGTATGCATGTATTATGTATGTACGTATGTCTGCATGTACGTATGTTCCGAATAGGAATTTTTATTTCTGAACCGATCCGGACCAAACTTGGCACACATACACTTCGGGGTGGGGCGGGTGTCGTAGGCTACTTTTCGTTATCGATCGATATCGATTTTATCGATTCTTATCAATTTTTTGCAAGGTTCGACCTACGGGGCTGGGAGTTGGCACAGGGGGTAATCGAGCATACTGATTACGAATACAGTATTAGTTTTTGAAATCGTCCATTATTTTTATGATTTTATCGATTTTTTTGCAAAGTTTGAGCTACGGGGTGGGAGTTGGCACAGGCGGGTAATCGAGCATGCTGATTACGATCACAATATTAGTTTTTAAAATCGTCCTTTACTTTTACCGATTTTTTGCAAAGTTCAAGCTACGGGACTGGGAGTTGGCACAGTGGGGTAACTGAGACGCATATAGTAACTGCTTGGAAGAATATCCAATATTTTGTTTTTTTAGGGCCTTGGATTAGAAAGGTGTAAGTTGGTACTTGGTTATGCTGATTCAAGCATTCTATTCTTTATTTCTCATCCTCAATCCTGCATTAAAATATTTCTCCTGTAATTTGGGACTGGATTTCGGTAAAGGATAAGCGAGTGTGCTGATTACAAAACAGCCTCCCTGAAAAAAATTCGAGTGCTAATGCCACGATCAAGGAAATTGGAAGAATGCACTGATCTTAAATATAAAGCTGAATGTCTGTTTGTATGTCTGTCTGTATGTATGTATGTATGTTTGTACGTATGTTCCGAATAGGAAATTCCATTTCTAAACCGATCCGGACCAAACTTTGCACACACACACTTCGGGGCCGGGCGGGTGTCATAGGCCACTTTTTGTCATCGATCGATATCGATTTTATCGATTTTTGCAGGGTTCACCTACGAGGCTGGGAGTCTGGCACAAGGGATAAGTGAGCATGGGGTCCGAATACAATATTAGTTTTTAGAATATTTCATTACTTTTATCGATTTCATCTATTTTTTGGCAAAGTTTGAGCTACGGGGCTGAGAGTTGACACAGGGGGGTAATTGAGCATGGGATTTCCGAATACAATATTGATTTTTAGAATTATCGGTTACTTTTATTGATTTTATCGATTTTTTCAAAAAGTTTGAGCTACGGGGCTGGGAGTTGGCACAGGGGTAAGTGAGCACGCTGATTTCAAAAACAACAAAGGGAACGGGAAATGAAGTGTAGATGGGCAGAGAGAAAGGCTGTACAGGGATAGGGATGGGGCTTTTAATACTTGTTTTGACAGGGCCGGGCGGAGCCGGGTAAACCAGCTAGTTCAGTCATAAACTAATCCCATTTCCATTTGCCTGTTCATCACAACTGAGGTCGAATCCGTAGCCATCCTCGGCGTTAAATTGTAGTTGCACTTCTTTCTTGTGCATGACGGTCTCTAAGCGGCACGTAAGGCAACGGGATTTGTGTAAATCGAGAAGGGGCACAAGTTTTTGTGCCTATGTACAAAATTAGCTGTGTGGCGACTCGGTGGGCTCGTGGCACCTAGATGTAACCCGAGTCCTGATGCTCGCCCGATAATAAACGACGTACCTAGCCCAGGGCCCGGCACGAGGTTGTCAAATGACAAGCTGGAAATCGTTTTCGGCAAAAAAAACAAAGGGGAAATCGTTTTTGCGGGGTCCGGGGCGAAGCCCCGGAAAAAAAATTGGTAGTGCACGTTCTCTGCTTATTTTAACATGTTATGCATCTCAACATGCGAAGACTGGAGTTCGCGCGCGTCAAACCGCGCCGTCGCTAATTGCCGCACGCGCGACGTCGCTCAAACGAGCTATTTGTAACGGCATACGTGACTAGTTCTTAATGTATGCGTTACGATATGACACCAAATTTTGTAGGCCAACGGAGAGAGGCTAGTAGAAACAAAGTATGAAAAATTATGAAAAACTTATATGAACGGAACGAGTAATAAGCATTTTTTCCGAAAATTCTGCAAAATGGGTAAATGAAGATGTGAATTCAAATGGCTCGTTTGCAACGCGCAGATGACGATATGGTACGAAACTTGGTATGTACGTGGACACAAGCCTGTAGGAGTTAACTTAGGAGTTTCATTGAAAAATTATGTGACTGAAGGTTGTGGAAAACTTTTTTCTGAAAATTTCCCGCTACCAAAAAAATGGAAAAATGGCTCGTTTGCAACGCATAGGTGACGAAATCGCGCGGGATTTGGTGTGTAGATGCGCAGTAGGACTAAGTAACAAAGTATGAAAAATTATGAAAAACTTATGTGAATGAAGAGCGTGCTTAACTTATTTCCAAATTAGCTTGTCATTTGACAAGCTAATGACAAGCTGAGCTTGTCAAAACTTTCAGTTCACATAATTTTTTCAAAATTTTTACATAAATCTACTCTACACCTAAAGACTAGTATATATAGAAATTTTGGTATCAAACCTTCTCCTCTCCCCATTGCTAGAGCCAAAAATAGCCTCAGCAGCCCCGTTTCCTAAGGAGGAAAGCGTGCTCCAATCGAAAGCGGCGTGTCGCTGAGTCCTTTGATGGCGTTATTGATATCTCGTCACTTCCGGAATATCTTATTATAATCTTACGCTATTGGTATTGTTAGTTTCATGCTTTGTTAATGAAGAAAATTTACCTAAGTGAAAATTGCTTGTTTTCGCCAGCAAAGTTCATTTTAATCACTTTTCAGAGAAGGAGAATGAGGTCTACGACGGAAAGCCGAAACCCAAAAAGCTCTAGAGAAGAAAGTGGAGCAGATCGCTGGTAACGCAGATCATAAGACTGTCGAAGAGGAGGAGAAAGCCTTCGTTCCAGAACAGAGAGGTTTGTCTGGCAATAAGTTGAAGCTCATCAGTGCTAAAACTTTATTTCTGTATAGTTTGTTCCGCCATAAAAGAGATACGAAGTCTTTTAATTTTTCTGTTTTTCCTTGAAAATTCAGTGTTTTTAGGCAAAGTCGGTGTGGTCCATGATTTTCTTCATAGAACTACGACAAAATCGACGTCAGCCGTTTGTCAATTGAGGAAAGATTACGTCAACAGCAAAACGCATGTCCAGGTACGTACAAGCTTTTTTTTTCTTGCAGAGTTCTTTGACTTGGCTGCAACTTTGGCTTTTTCAGTTGCATGTAGTGGAAAAAATTCATTTTGTTACGAAAAGCGAGGGGGAAGGTACAAAAAAGATCATTTTACTATCTCTGAAACATCGTGTGCTTGGTATGAATCGCGGGTATGTGTTGAAAAAACGACCAAGATAGTAACTGTTTTTGAACTGGAAGATACATCGTGTTTGTAATTTTTGGCTTCTTTTCCTTTGTAGATGTTAGATTTGTACGACGTCGAGGCATTTGATAATCACGATGGTGGTGCATGGAAGCAGGGTTGGAGCATAGGTGCGATAGGGGGAGCCGGGCTCTCCCCAGGTGAAGGGGGTCTCGGCTGTTTCCGACCTTCCAGGTGAAGGGGGTATGTAAGCCTGGGGGGGGAGAGAGAGAAAAGGTAAAAAAGCGTGGTATGAAGTGCTCTAATTTGTACCTTATTTAGGTACAAATTGAAAAAAAATTTTTTTAGAATTAAAAAAAATAATATTAGGTTGAACCGGAAGTTCTTTCGCACCGAATCCAAAAATTCATAATTGCTGAAATTTCTAACCGATTAGACCGCTCTTATTTTAATATGAAAGAGTAAGTCATGCTCTTTATAAAGACCATCAATTGCTTATTAATGATCATCCATTGCACAGATAGGAGCGGTAGAAGAAAATTGGTCAGAAATTGAATTTTCTGTGTAGGAACATAAAAAATCGGAAACTTGCAACAAAAATCGGAGCAGTCGGTATTGTAGGTTTTTTCACCAACTCTTTCTAACTGTGCAAAGTTTGCGCCGATTGAACGTCTCTACGAAAAGTTACGGTTTTCGAGCAAGCAACACAAAAGGATGATTTTGGTTTATTTTGGCATTTTTCAGGGAAATCATAACTTTTCACAGAGACGCTCAATCGGCACAAACTTTGCACTGTTGTAAAGAGCTGGTGAAATAACCTACAATACCGACTGCTCCGATTTTTGTTGTAGGTTTGATTTTTTATGACCCTACACGAAAAATTCAAATTTTGAGTGATTTTGGTTTTGAGCTTCTATCTCCTTAATTTGTATACGTTAACGAACATCATTATTTTTTCAGGCAAAGTTGCAAAGAGCATGAGTTCCTCTCTTAGGCAAAATTTTGCTCTTACAAATTCGTTAAGAATTTAAAGAGTTATGAATTTTTGAAACTTTTTGTAACTTTTCATAGAGACGCTCAATCGGCGCAAACTTTGCATTGTTAGAAAGAGCTGGTGAAAGAACCTACACTACCGACTGCTCCGATTTTTGTTGCAAGTTTTCGATTTTTTATGACCCTACATAGAAAATTCGAATTTTGACTAATTTTCTTCTACAGCTCCTATCTACGCAACAGATCATTAGCAAGCATCTAAGAAGCCGTTATAAAGAGCATGACTTACTCCCTCAGAAAAAAATAAAAGCGTTCCAATAGGCTGGAAATTTCAGAAGTTATGAATTTTCGAATTTGGTGCGAAAGAACTTTCGGTTCAGCCTAATAAATCAAAAAAATTGACTTTATAAAGATCTGTGCTCCTATTTCATTGCATCGACAAAAAACGAAAGCAATAAGGTATCCCAAAAGATGTACAAGTTAGGAACAACTTACAATTCCTGCACGTCATCATCAACAATATCACTATCGGTAACGTCAGAGACAACAAATTCGCTGCCTGAAAGATCTTCTCCTTCTGTCAAAAGATCATCGGAGTGGAAGTAGAATTGCGTCAAAAAGCGTTCTGAGTCGAAAATAGATTTGAAACGTTTTTCTCCTTCTAAGCGCTCTTGTGTTTTTTTTTTGGCCCTCTGGTAGCACCAGGAAGTCAGCAGGTAGCTGACCAGTTTCTTCATACTATCTTTTAGGATATTTCAAAAGTCATACAGTCGAGTAGATTTTCTGCTTAATATAGTGTGCTTGCACAGTTTATGAAATGCGGTAAAATTTGCGCGTGAACAGGTAGCTGCGCCAGCACTGCCGGCATTTTGCGCGCGTAATTGGCCGGCGTCACAGTCGAAGCTATTTCCTCACGAGCAAATTTTACCGCATTTCACCTTCTGTGCAAGCACACTATATTAAGCAGAAAATCTACTCGACTGTACGATGACAGCCTGTCTGGACCACTTATAGCAATCCTTTAAATGAAGTTTTTAGATATCAATATGTTCAGTAGAAGGTTGACAAATCTTAAGTAAATGCTTAGATGCTCCACCGTTGTACGAGTTCTGCGTTGCGTTCTGATAACAGAGTAGATAGAAAATCCCCTTTCCACCTCTGCCGTGCTAGTCGGAATTGGAACTATCTTTGCTAGTAAGCCCATCAGATTTTTGCGGTAAGTAATGGGGAAAGAGCCAGATCGCATATGCTTTCGCAATACGGGAAGTAAATATTGCATACTTTTTGGGCCTTGTCGAACTCTGGCTTCACCTCCTCTGGCTTACTCTTGTCAGCTGCGAGAAAGCCGCTCAACTTCTTCTTCAACAGCATCTGCGGAATAGCCGAAAAAAGTAGATACTATGCTGCGCGTTGGTTTTTTTCAATATCATAGGTCATATTGTCACAAGGCGAGATACTTCCAGCAGCATAAAGCACAGAGTTAAGTTCGTACTCCAGTCGGGATCTAAGAGCAGTAGCTATGCTTTGTAATAACATCTTCCTTTGTTCATATCCATGTTCGTGAATTTAGCAGCCTTGAAATCTTCAGCAACCTGAAGATCAGCAATGGACTTCTTGGACATTTCCTCATCGAGACTAGGCAATCTAGGCTTGGATTTCTGATGTACGAAATAGAGAGTTTCGCTCAATTGTCAACTCTGTATCAATGTCGACAACATATTCGTCGGCGTAAGATTCTCCTTTTGCTTCGCTGTTGAACTGGAACACATGCGAGTCATCTGCGATTTTGTAAAGTATTCTGCCTGCCGCTTCTTCTTCATTGCCAGCCTTTCCAAAACATTGAAGGATATTTTAATAACATGTTGTTCTTCTGAATGCCTCAAAGTTTTTGATTTATTGAAACCAACCATTCTCTACAATTAGGTGAGTATAGAGCGTTTTCACGAACGTGACCTTCTTCAGCACTAGTTTTACAGAGTATAGATTCCAGAAATGGGCGGGTTTTTGTGTGAAGGTGTGGAAATTCACCAATCTCCCATAGTTTTTTGAGTATGTGCTGATAATGATGGCACAACTGTCAATCAAAAGCGCATTTTTTACTAAAAAAACATAAACATTTAACAGCGACAAGCACGCTTAAGTAGACGCGTTCGCTCGCGTTCCCGTTAGTGCTGATAACGATGTCAATCTACAGCACATTTTTTACTATTAGCTTGCTCCACCTCGCTCTTTCAATGTGTTGGCTTTTATCAGTTACCGGAGAAAATGATTTTTAGAGCCGGGAAGCAAAGAAGCCCTAACATGCTGTATACCATTCGAAAGCTGAGATCATGGGGAATCGACGTAGACCGTCGCCTTTTTTCTAGATCCTCTGTGTCGCGAGATATGAGGAATTTTATGTGCTTTGAAAATTAACTGATTTTTTGTCCTCACTTTCTGCTCTCCAAATAAATTCTACGAGAAAGTCGACGGTCTACGTTTGTTAATGAAGACTTGCTCTTTCACACAGATAGATAACCAGCAGTGATTAGGTCTTCATTTGGCAGAAATCTGCTGTTGAAAATGACCATGTTTTCAGATAAAATGCGGTGTATCTCTCGGTAGAGGGGGGCTAGAAAGAAGTCGACGGTCTAGGTCGAATCCCCTTTTCCTGAGCTTTCGAATGGTATATAGGTTACTGGGCGAAAAAACTAACCAGTTTTCAAAAGTGAGGTGGAGATATTTACTATTAGCTTGCTCCAACCCAGCTCCACCAATGTATTGGCTTTTATCGGTTACCGGAGCAAATGATTTTTAGAGCCGGGAAGCAAAGAAGCCCTAACATGCTGTATACCATTCGAAAGCTGAGATCATGGAGAATCGACGTAGACCGTCGACTTTTTTCTAGATCCTCTGTGTCGCGAGATATGAGAAATTTTATGTGCTTTAAAAATTAACTGATTTTTTGTCCTCACTTTCTGCTCTCCAAATAAATGCTACGAGGATAAATAAATAATATGAATAAACATAAGTACCGTTACTTTTGTAAATTTATGAGAGTACTTGTTGTTTGAGGTACTTAGCCTGCAAAACCTTTTAATAACGATTTTTATCATATTCTCAGAGTACAATACCAATCTCAGCCCAGGTGAAGGGGGTCATCGGGAGTTTGGCCTTAAAGTGAAGGGGGTAAGATCCATCACTCCTCCTATCGCAACTATGGTTGGGAGATTACCTACGACAAGGACAAGGTTGCTCAGGAAAAGAAACTGGAAGTGATCGTGATAACACACTCTCACTGTGACCCTGGTTGGTGTCCTATCCATACTATTTCTTATTTGCATTGTTTTTGAAGCCCTTTACCTTTATCTTCTTCCAATGTCATTTACCTGTTTTAGATTGGATTAAAACAGTATTACGCATCCCAGACCAAGAAAATTTTGGATGGAATGTACAAAAGCTTGAGCGGTGATCAGGATTTTGTCAGTTTGTCTATTCAGTTAGTAGTTTCTCTTTTTTTGCAGTTTTATTCTATCATGCTAGTTCATTCAGAGTAGAATGCGCTTCATATATGCTGAAATATTATTTTTCGAGCTGTGGTGGAAGGACCAAAGTGAGGAAGTGAGGAAAAAAGTTAGGGAGTAAGTTCCACTTATCTCCTCGTTGCTTGATCATGTGACTGCTTTGCTGCTCTTAGGCTACTGGATAGTGGGAAGTTGAAAATCGTCACGGGTGGATGGGTTATGACCGACGAGGCCAATGCTCATTATTTCTCCATCATTACCGAACTCATGGAAGGACACAAATGCATCAAAAATCATCTGGGAGGTAAATCCTTATTTTCATCTATAGCTATCGAACAATATATATTTTGGCAGTTATCACAAATTTTTGAGGTTTTCGTCCGACTAGTCATTGGCCAAAAGATCCATTCGGTTTATCACCATCGACACCATATCTCTTGACTGCAGCTAATATAACGAATGCAGCCATACAAAGGTTTGTGATCATTGTGCATTTTTCCTTCCATATTCTACATCACCTCTTTCAAGCGGTTTTTCCAGTGGGACTTATGCTTGACGTAAATCTCCTTGCTTTATGGTACACTACTCGGTGAAGAAACACCTTGCAAAAAAGAAGCAGTTGGAGTTATGTGGCGACAACTTCGCGGTAAGCGTATAACGTGATTGTTGTTTTTTTTCAATGTTGAGCTTCTGATCGCTGCAGGTACACATGGTAAACAAGACATGCGTACTCATCTATTCCCTTTCTACTCATGCGACGTGCCTCACACTTGTGGCCCAAATCCAGCCGTCTGCTGTCAGTTCGATTTCAGGAACTGTATATTCCTACAAATTTATATTTTGTTCTTGCAATATATTTCTTTACTGAACCTCGTGTGACTTCTTTTTAGTTTGCATTTCTGCTTCTTCTTGTTTTTTTGCACTTTTTGAGATTTGATCGTTTGTTGTAAAAATTGTATTGTCAAGTTGCGCCAACTTGTCTTGACATCTCCCACCTATGGGAAGCTTAGATTGGATAAAGTATTAGGCTGATGCATAATCCCTGCACTAAAATAGGTACATACCGCAATAACTCGGAATAATCCTATATCCCATGTAGGATTCGATATATCATTAGATAGCGCAAACCTAGCTCTAGAAGATAGTGCTCAAATATCTACACCAGCTTGATCCACGCGAAGTTTTGAGCCAAAAACTGTAAAAAACCATGCGTCCGAAAACCTTAAGACAGATCTAAAAAAATTGTAACTCCGTTGAAAAAGCTCCTACAAAAATTCTTTCTTGCTCATGCGTAGACGTTCCACGCATCACATCTATCTATGCGGTTCCTGTATTTTTTGCTCAGCTAGACGATGAGAAAACGAAATTTTTCATGTTTTTTCCAAACAATGCTGAGATGTTCTAGCACTGACAGTTGTATACTATAGGACATTAGAAGCGTGGATGTGAATTCAGCTTTTTACAGCAACTGGTTTACGAGAAATATCGAATTTTTGACAATTAGGCAAGAAAAATTCGGATGAACAGAGCTAGATTCGTCATTACTCGTGAACTAGCTGTTCTAGAAGGCTGAAAATGTAAAGTTTGAATGCTAATGGCATGTACTATACAACCGTTAGTGTTGAAACATCTCAGCACTAATTTGGCAAAAACATGGAAAACTTCGTTTTCTCATCGTCAAGCTGAGAAAAAAATACAGCAACTGCATAGATAAATGTCTTATGTGAAAAGTCTACGCGTGAGCAAGAAAGAATTTTTGTAGGAGCTTTTTTAACGGAGTTACAATTTTTTGAAGATCTGTCTTAAAGGCAGTGTCCGGGCAAAATGGGGGTTCTGAGATTTCTCTGCCATGTGAAAGTAGCCCCCCTGAGAACAACATCGCGCAACTGCGAGCATAAAACGTTCGACCTAAAGCAAGAAAAACGATTACAAATTGGGGAAACTTACGCCTTGGGGCGGGGTCCTCCGAGTTGTTTGAATTCCTGCCAGACGGCAGAGTACGTATGCCGCCACAGTTAAAAACCGTGCGCTCTTTGCAACCTCTGCGTCTTAGCCTGGCGGGGATCCCCAAATTTCGAAATGTGAGGACTTGGAAAATGCATGTTCTCGCCGTTTTCGCGCCTTCTGATGTGGATTTTCGGATTCAGCGTTGCGGATAACCCCAGATAAGTTGATTTTTTAGAAGTCGAGTTTCTGCCCGGACACTGCCTTTAAGATTTTCGGACGCATGGTTTTTTTTCAGTTTTTGGCTCAAAAGTTCGCGTGGATCAAAGCTGGTGTAGATATTTGAGCACTATCTTCTAGAGCTAGGTTTGCGCTATCTAATGATTATCGAATCCTACATGGGATATAGGATTATTCCGAGTTACTGCGGTATGTACCTATTAGGTTGATGCATAATTCCTGCACCAAAATAGGTACAGACCGCAATAACTCGGAATAATCCTATATCCCAAGTAGGATTCGATATATCATTTGATAGCGCAAACCTAGCTCTACAAGATATTGCCCAAATATCTACACCAGCTTTGATCCACGCGAAGTTTTGAGTCAAAAACTGAAAAAAACCATGCGTCCAAAAACCTTAAGAAAGATCTTTAAAAAATTGTAACATCGTTCAAAAAGCTCATACAAATTTTCTTTCTTGCTCACGCGTAGACGTTCCATGTAAGACATTTATCTATGCGGTTGCTGTATTTTTTTCTCAACTAGGCGATGAAAAAACGAAGTTTTTTGAAGTTTTTCATGTTTTTGCCAAATTAGTGCTGAGATGTTCTAGTATTAACAGTTGTATAGTACATGCCGTTAGCAGTGAAACTTTACAATTTCAGCCTTCTAGAACTGCTAGTTCGCGAGAAATAACGAATCTAGCTCTCCTTATCCAAATTTTTCTTGCCTAGTTGCTAAAAATCCGATATTTCTCGTAAACCAGCTGCTCTAAAGAGCTGAAAATTCACATTCACGCTTCTAAGGTCCTATAGTATACAACTGTCAATGCTAGAACATCTCAGCATTGTTTTGGAAAAAACATGAAAAACTTCGTTTTCTCATCGTCTAGTTGAGAAAAAAATACAGCGACTGCATAGATAAATGTCTTCCGTGGAACGTCTACGCGTGAGCAAGAAAGAAAATTTGTATGAGCTTTTTGAACGATGTTACAATTTTTTAAAGATCTTTCTTAAGTTTTTTGGACGCATGGTTTTTTTCAGTTTTTGACTCAAAACTTCGCGTGGATCAAAGCTGGTGTAGATATTTGAGCAACATCTTGTAGAGCTGGGTTTGCGCTTTCAAATGATATATCGAATACTACTTGGGATATAGGATTATTCCGAGTTATTGCGGTCTGTACCTATTTTGGTGCAGGAATTATGCATCAACCTAATATTTTGGTGCAGGAATTATGCATCAACCTGATGGATTAGCTCGAATAATAATTTTAGTGGAAATATTTACAAAATGTACCTTTTGACCGCCTTCCCGGCATTGGACCTGATTCTCCTTGGGCAAGCCTCCAGTGAGAACTAACAGCGTTAATGCAGAAGAGCGGTAAGTACAATGTGAATGGTCCGAAGCGACTCTAGCCCTAGGGGGAGTGACGGCGAGGAAGCTCGCCGCGACAATTGCGGCCAGTGCGCTGGCTGCTATTGCGGCGGGAGCTTCCTCGCCGTCACTCCGTGCGCGTGCGCGCCATTCGAGTGTCCTCAATTAGGTTAAAAAAAACAAAGCGCAAGCACTAGCTTGCGCTTTGATTTTTTGAGGGGGAAAAGTGAGTGAGCGAGAGGAGTGGAATTCAAGAGTGGGTGTGGGAGTGGAATATTTGAGGATGAGGGTGAGTGTGAGAGGTACTGTGAGAGTGTAGATTACCTGGGGCTGAGGATTATTGAGTGGAGTGTTAGGGGTAATTTGTAGATTAGTAGAGTACTTAAGAGAGTGAGAAGACGGGAATGTGAGGAGTATATGTGGAACTCGAGTACTTGAAGGTGAGAGGTTTCAAAAATTGTGAGCATACGAATGGTACGAATCCCCTCCCCCCCTTCCCCCTAGCTGCCGGTCAAATTAACTTTCATTGACCTCACTCCAGAGATCTCCAATGTAATCTCATTTGTTTTTTTTTGTCATAAATGAATTGTTTTCGTTTTTTTCTTTAATGAAACTTGTTCTTTGGGTAAAATGTTCATTGCGCAACCACTGGGATCAGTTTTTGGGTCAAAGGGGAATTCGTAAAAAACTTTTGGGTCAAAGGGGAATTCGTTTTCGAAAGCCCCTTTTGACAACCTCGTGCCGGGCCCTGACCTCCTACTGCGCACTAACGCGCGACCGAACAGAACATAGGGTTAATTAAGTGGTTTATCCTTATGGCACTAAACTACAGTCAAATAGATGAAAAAGAATACTACACTAAAGCAAAACAATTTACTACTACTACAACGTTAAACACGGGACGAGGGCCCGTCCCATGCTACCGATGCGCGTCTATGAACAAACTCAAAAATACATGTGGCTCGCGAGGGTTCGCGCAACAAATCCACCGCGCAACGCCAAGGCCCTTAGACGACGGCACGTCCCCTCCAGCTCCTGTAGATGATTTCCGGTTAATACTAGGCGCGTCGACTTGCGCTAACAAAAAGGAATCCGTTTTCAATCCAAAGAACTCCCGGCTAACTGCTCTTACAAAGAGAAGGGCAGGAGCATAGCGGCTGAAATGATATTCGAACAAGAAATGAAATCAATCAATAAGAATGAAGACGAACAATGGCACCCAGCTGAGGCGCCGCCGCCTTATATAGCCGCCTGGTTGGCAACGAGCCAATAAAGAAGAGGTCCGGAAACGATCGCGGCAACACGCGTCTCGGCTGCCGGAATTGTTGCCGGATAGCGCGGTAACCGATGCCCCCGGCCTCCGTACTTCGAGGAGCGCCTTGCATCGCGAGACGCGACAAGCTGCTTCACTCACTTTGCTCAGCCCTTAATGCTAGCCTGCTCCGTTCAGCTACCTAGGAAACGCCATTCTGCTTCATAACTTCCTCTTTTTTTGTCAAATGGAATACGCGCATAGTTGAAACTATTGAGTTGGAATAAAAAGAATGTCGCATTTTTTGCTATTACGCGATATCGAAACAGGGCGAACACTAAGAAACTGCATGGGTCATCGTTTGATAGAGCAAAGCAAGCTCTACAAGGTGATTGTCGAATCGAACAATCGCATAAGTTTGACCTATGTGCAACTGAAAGCCAAAATCTAAAGAGTTTTGAATGCCAGAAAAATCGAAATAATCGTAACTTTGCTCAAAAATTTCTAAGGACACCCCAACTGCTCAAGGTCATTCTCTGCACATCAAAAATTCATATGCTGGATTGCTGTATTTTCTCCTTAGCTAGGGATCGAAAAACGAAAATTCTCAGTTTTTACAAAACAGTGCTGGGCCGTTCGCATACAAATTCATTTATACTGCTAATTCTCACAAGCACAGCCAATTTTCAGCCTTCTACGAGGGTTAATTTTCGAGAAAAAGCGAATTCTACATTTCCTTCCGGACTTTGAGATGAATCCAATATGCAGGATGTCTCAAAAGTAAATACACATTTTTCAAACCTTAAAGGCACCGTCTCCCTAAGTTGAGGGTGTTGAGCTCTCGGCAGCATATAATAATAGGGCCCCATATCAATCCAATGCCCAAGTCGCGGCGCAAAATGCCGCTTCGGAAGCGAGAAAATCGCTTTGAAATAGCGAGGATGCACGAGGACCCCCATCCATGCCTGCCCTCCCCCATCCATGCCCTCCCATTTGTGTGCGCCCATCCAATCACCGTTCCGGAAAGCCGCCTGTGGATTCTCCGGAACGGAGATTGTAGGAGTTTTTGCGCATTCTCGACTTCATTTCCGGAATCAGGGACATGAGAAGGCCCTGAAACGACAAAACGTGGAAGTCGAAAATCTGGGTGGACGGTGTCTTTAATAACCCTCTTCCCACAAATTCTCCTGCCTAGCTTTGAGCACCATTCAATAGAGCAGGCTTTATCTTAGATTTACGGTATGGAGCGAATCACCCATCCCTCTTCATTATACAAGATAGGAGTCTTGATAATGGCTACATATTGCCCCAAAATGGATACTCAATAAGCTGAAAACTTTATCATTAGGCTAAACTATTAGGTTGTCCGGAAATTAATGCCCGTTTTGAATTTCAACAGCAATAAGTCATACACTTCTCACTTCTGAATGGGTTGCAAAGTACCATTTGATAGAGCAAAGCAAGCTCTACAAAAAGGCCATCTTGCTTTTGCAACAGCTCTCATCCGCCTCGAGTTTTGAGCCAAAAACTAAAAAGACTCAGCAGCCCGAAAAATCAAAAAAAAATCGTAACGCAGTTTAAAAAAATCCTACAAAAATTCTTACTTGCTCACGTAAACACAATCTACATAAAACATCTACAAACGCCTTTGCCATATTTTTTCCTCTGCTAGAAATTAAGAAAACGGATATTTTCGTGCATTTGCCAAAGTGATACTGTGCCGTCCCCACATAGGTAGTTGTGTACCACAAGCCTGTAGAAGTACAGACTTAAATTTTCAGCTCTCTACAAGCTTTAGTTCTCGAAAAAATACCAAATAAAGCTTTTCCTAGCTAGGTGGCCCAAGCTAAAATTCAAATTTCTCGAGAACTAAAGCTTATAGAGAGCTGAAAATTTAAGTCTGTACTTCTACAGGCTTGTGGTACACAACTACCTATGTGGGGACGGCACAGTATCACTTTGGCAAATGCACGAAAATTTCCGATTTCTTGATTTCTAACAGAGGAAAAAATACGGCAAAGGCATATATAGATGTTTTATGTGGATTGTGTTTACGTGAGCAAGTAAGAATTTTTGTGGGATTTTTTTAAACTGAGTTACGATTTTTTTGATTTTTCGGGCTGCTGAGTCTTTTTAGTTTCTGGCTCAAAAGTCGAGGCGGATGGGAGCTGTTGCAAAAGCAAGATGGCCTTCTTGTAGAGCTTGCTTTGCTCTATCGAATGGTACTTTGCAACCCATTCAAAAGTATGAAGTGTATGACTTATTGCTGTCGAAATTCAAAACGGGCATTGATTTCCGGACAACCTAATAAGTCGCTGACCATGAATATGAAATTTGCACTGTACTGTAAAACTTTTTTCCATATGTTATGCCAGCTAAACCGCACTAGTGTTTTCTCAGCATTCTTCAAAAATGTGACAAAAACCGTTTGAAATGCCCGAAATTCATTAACAATTGTTTAATGAAATCAGCATGTCTAAAAACACCGCTTCACAATTTTTTAGAATTTTGGTTTTTTTTCCAAATGGCATCTCGTAATGTTGATGTACAGTTGAGTAGATTTTCCGCTTAATATAGTGTGCCTGCACAGTTTATGAAATGCGGTAAAATTTGCGCGTGAGGAATTAGCTTCGACTGAGACGCCGGCCAATTGCGCGCGCAAAATGCCGCCAATGCTGGCGCAACTACCTGTTCACGCGCAAATTTTACAGCATTTCATAAACTGTGCAGGCACACTATATTCAAGGCAGCGTCCGGGCAAAATTTCGAACAAAATTTTTTTCGCTTACCTGGACTTATTCTTCCCGCTGATTGAAAATGTAGCTTGCAGAGTACGAAAATGTCGAAAAGGGGCTATTTCCGAAGCTGTTGATTTTGAATATGGAAGCTTGTCGCCGAGGTTAAGACGCAGAGTCGTGGTGGGACCCTACGCCTTGACTGTGTGCGACATACGTACTCCAGCTATCGATTGAAGGGCGGGCAGGTCGCCACTTCTGGAGCGGTCTCGCTTCAGAAGCGAATTAGTGCACTGCCAGTTGGGCAAGTGCTTTACTAGGATGGGAGCCCCTGTAGCTAAATTCTCATATCTGCCCGGACGCTGCCTTTAAGCGGAAAATCTACTCGACTGTATGCTGAGAGGTCCTACCGTAATCTTGCGTTAATGAAGAGTGATGGATAATTCGCTCCACACTGTAAATCTAAGCTAAAGCCTGCGCTACTAAATGGTGCTTGAACCTAAGCAAAAGACTTTGTGGAGGAGAATTATTAACAATTAAAAAATGTGTACTTACTTTTGGGACACCTGTATTCCGCGAACTATCTCTTGTAGAAGGCTGAAAATTGGCGGTGATGCTTAAATATAGATCAACTGCAGGAGAACGACCCAGCATTGTTTTGAGAAAAAAACTGGGGATTTTGTTTTTTCACTTAACCATGAAAAAAGACAGCAGTTCAACATATTTGGTGGCAACATTCATTCATTCATTCATTCATTCATTCATTCCGAGATCTCCTCTTGCCTTGCCAGCCTAATCATCGCCGCATGTCAAAATACCTGAAAGATACGTTAAAGCAGCGCAAGACCAGAGCAAGGCGGTCGCGAGGACCTGAGCCGCTTGACTTGTGGCGGCAGCATGTATGTCAGCCACCATACTCAACTCGGCTGCCTTTATAGTCAGATGGCGTAAAAAACTGGAGTTAAAATGTTGCAAATGTATGTATTAGGTCGGTCCGAAATTTCTTGCGCTTCTATTTGAAAGAGAAATCCATGCTCATTACAGCAGTTCTCAGCCATGAGTTAGTTTGAAAAAATTCGAGAGTTAGAAGCAATGAAGTGGGTCACGAATAGTTCTGGAGGTACTTTTATTTTAAAGGGGAAATTGCGCATTACTATAGTACCTTCCCGCCTTATTATGAGATAGTTCGAGAGTTAGAAGCAAATGAAGTGAATTACTTCAAGTTTGCAAATTTTGTGCATGCTCAAAAAAGCTTCAAACGTTGCAGCAGAGACCGAAACAGTCCTAAACGAAAGTTTTATGAGCTCCTCTTTTTAGCAGAGTTGAATTCGTGAAACTCTGTAGCAGATTTGATTTTCGTAAATTTTTCGGGTTTTCGTGCCTGAATTTCTCAAGAAAACCAAATCTGCTCCAGATTTGCACTTCAGTGAGCTAGAAAGAGAAGTTTTTCAAAACTTATCTTCAAAACTATTAGGTTGTTTCATAAGTTCGTAGAGTTTTTATTTTTTTAACAATTTCTGGATGGCGGTTGTTTTACGTCAAAGTACCTGTACTGTTTGAAAGAGCCAATCCTGCTCGACAAGAACCGTTGTTCTTTTTCCGAGCGAATCTGAATTCCTTTAATTTATAACCTCTCAAATCAAAGTTTTTTGAGAGGCAAAATGCAAAATTGACGATTTCGGCACTTTTCGCATTTGGTCCGTATCCCGCGAAATGTTATTTTCATATGTAGGCGAAATAGATAGATAGTAGCAAGCAAGACTGATATAATGACAAGTTTGCAGCATGCCAGTATGCTTAGAACCGTTTGAACAAGGTCCCATTAATTGTTGTCTTCGACTGTTGCCGCTTGAGTTTTGCGCGTTGTTTAGCGACAGTATGTGTTGGTCCTCCTATCGTCCCTTAAAGGCAGTAACTCGGCAAATTTCCACCTTCCGGGTTTCTGCATATTTTACGCTTTTTCGACCTCCTGAATCATTATATGTAGCCCTCCGAGCACAAATCTGACAAAAACCCCGTTTTTCATCACCCCCTCCTGAAATTACGGGGACGAGTTTCGCGTTGTCTGTCGCCATTCTCTGCCGTCAGAGACGCAGAGTGTACAGGTTGTCGTTTGTTATGACGTAGCAAAGTATTCATTGCGGGAAAATGTGTATTTGTCATCATTTTTCCTACATTGCTTTTGCTTCCATTAGGTTCAGATGAAGTTGATGAAAACAATCTGCGTATATTTTCAGGGCACCAGCGGAGTTTTCCAACAGCAAGGGACAGGTTCGTAGCTTTGTCAAGTTCCTGGTGGAGTACATCGCCTACATGTGCGGAATAGAATAGCTACAGGAAAAACCTGTGACTTTTTGTTTGAAGGTAGGTAACTTACAAATATCTAAGTTGCAGGTTTATCAGATCTCAAGTGTGAATGTTTTGTCTTTCCATTATCTCTCATCCTTTTTCTTTCGGAGTTTCCACAGAATTCGTTTTTGTCACCGTTTTTTCTCACATTAGCGATACACGTTACGTACTCATCGGTCGTTCTAAGGCTAGAAGGCTCAAAGCGCTTTGCACACAAGGTTTTATAAACAGAAACTTGTGAATTCCTCATTCTGGATGTTTTAACATCACAAATGGAAAAAAGCAAAGAGGTCAAGTCTGTAGAACAGTGAAATAGAGGTGTTTTCGAGTCATCTTCCCTCCAAATGGGTTATAGCTGAGAACTATGAATATGATGCTCATTTTCTGTGTCGGTCTTGTGGAAAACGGTCGACTTCAGTTTCTTACAGCTAACATGTTGGAAACCACCCGCAACTTCGACATTTTCACAAAGCCATAAATAAAAGTGAGTTTGTGTTGTTTGCGTACATCGTTACAGTAACAATATGACAGTTATTTTAGTAAAGAATGCTGCGAAACTTGTGGGATACGTAAGCATGGTCGTAGAGGAGTTTCTTTTTTTTTGCTACGTCATTTGTCTAGGTATGTGTCCCTTGCTGTCCTGCTGTCCTATGCTTTTTGTTCCTTGCTTTTGCTTTAATTGGCTCACAACATGTTGTAGGTCTCTCACCACAGCGACACAGTTGGCACAATTGCGTATGTAGAGTGACGTGCCTCTTGAACAGGTTTTCTCAATGTGTATGTACTGAAGCTGTCGTTCTTGCTCGTGTGTATGTGCAAATTGTCCTACTGCCTTTCCTATGTCTTTTTTAGGACATTGCTTTCATCCCCTTTTCTGTTCTTCGTCAGTAATGTGTGTACCTGTCACGATCATTGTTCCTTTCATCACCATCACTATGTTTCTGCTCGTATAAGCTTGGAACTCATACTGCAGTTTTTTGATGGCGATGCGCAGAAATTTTAATAAATGTGAGAAGTGTTGTACTCATCTTGCTGAAGAAGTGCTCGTCACTGTGCATTCTCTATTTGCATTTTTCTATGAGAAATTCGTTCTGTTTTAGACTCGATATACCGAACGTCTATAACAACCACGAACTTTCATGGGAGAACAGTGGGTATTTTCAATATTTTCACATTTTTACACTTTCAATTATCTTACATTTATATATATGCTGCCACTTTTTTTATTTGTGCTTTCTCTACTTTTTTTTATACATTTCTTTACCCTGGCTAGTCTGGTGTTCCATCTGCCGTATCTTCATTATCTCTGATCCGTATCTGCGAACGGCGAGTGATGAAGGCCGTGACTATTTCCTTTCGCCAAATGTGTTCTACAGCGCTTTTGTGCTTGAGCTGTGTCGTCTCCCCTCCATTGCATTTGCGGCGGACTTCGTCAACTCTTTCGACAACCCTTTCTCCACTCAGCTCTGCCTGTGTGAGTGCATTAAAATGCATGGTGGACATGTGCGCATAGATGGAGTAGGTCGCTGCCGGTCTGAAAAGATGCTTTGAAGGTAGCGCTATTTTGTCATGAAAGCCTCATCGCAAACGTTCTCACAAAAATGTGTCCTTTGGGCAGTATAATCTATCTAAGGCATTTTTAGTTTCGCACTGGCTAGTCTCACCTAAGGGACTAGCCATTGGGATGTCCTTTCGAAACAGCGGCTGCAGGAGGATCTCGCGCAGTTTGTTATGAGCCGGGCTGTTGAAGGGTATTATCGGTTTCTTCTCTTCATCATCGTCTTCATCATCGTCTTCGTCCACGTCAAGAGCCTCTTGAGAGCATCTTCTAAGTGGACCCGTAATGTCAGCCTGAAAGAACATTTGAGGGGTGTGTGGCGAGGTTGTAAATAGCTGGTTCCTATACCTGGTCCCACGTGTGCTGGTCGGCAACATGATATAAACAGCTGTTGAATAAGTACTTCGCGTACTTGCTGTCATTGGCCAGTGCACCTTGTTCTATTGCAAAATATAGGTGCTTCTTTATAGGCTTTATCCAGCTTTTGATTACCGCGTAATCCCTTTTCTTTGCGGCCTTAACTTGATCACTTCGTAATTGTCGGTAAATCTTGGATTTTTACCGCGCGAAGGTTTTTGTCTAGATTTCTGGCCAGATGGCATCTATCCAACTTCCATTCGATCTTCTCACCGCACTCTGCATTATAGAGGTTGATCTCCTTCCCAAACACGGCGCTGCGATCTGTTGCTATCGACCGGATGGGGATACCCCTCGAATGCAACCACCGCAGCATCCTGCGGAAGCCCTCTTTTTCCATTCTCTGACTGATTTGACCTGCAAAAAAAAATTTCGAGAATGATTGTGTCGTCCTTCTTATTCACCTGTCTCGGAACGATTCACTACTTCCGAGTGGATGCAGAGTTTGGTCTTGAGGTCCACCGCTAAAACCTTGCAGAGTTCTGCACTATGGCCCCTTGAATCATACGCGCCATCGACGGCAATGTCCCAGGCGGCTCCTCCATCATTCTAAATTAAATGTAATTTGCTAACTTTTGTCTTGTTTATTCTTTGACCTGGTAAGCGGCTTGATCTGTTCAATGGCACGATCCTGATGGTTTTCATAAACGGCCATGATAGATGGCCTTGTCTCGGTGAAGATTCGTCCATACGAAGACATCGAGGGTAGTGCCAACCCTATTTCTGAGGCCCACTTTATCAATTTCTGGAACGGTGTATTTTGATGTTTGATCTGGAAATGAACACAACTTTACATTCATACGGACTCCCGTAGTTACTGATCCTATACACGCTAGCGCATCGCCAATGCGCAGCTTGTCGATTCTGTCCGAATTAATTTTTTCCTGCCCATCCCATCTTTTTTTCTGGGGTCTGACACCCTTTCTGAGGTAATAGATGATGGGATTTGAACCCGAGGCATCGAGACAAACTCTAGTTTCGTCGCTTTCGCACTCGCATCGAGTGAGGTGAAAAAGCTCTAGGAGCTTTTTCCCCTGCACGACGAAGAACTTGTTCAGGAGCTCAGGTTTGGTCTCTTCCAGAGTGGGCCCGTCATCAGTATCGTAATCCGGCTGTTCATCTGGGCAGTAACTGGAGCTGCTCTAAAATAAAAGAAGGTTTGTGGTTTGTGTGAATCAATTTTATGTGTAAGGGCTTCTCCAACCGCGGTTTTGGCAGAAATCGTAGAAGGTCTGCTGAATTCGGTCTTTGCTGGAGATTGCAAGTGTTCAAGTTGAGCAGTCGGTGCCAGTGGCGTACCCAGGATTTCGGCTCGGGGGGGGGGGGGGCGCGACAAAAAATTTTTTCTAAAGAAGGTGCGTGGCGTTAGCCACGCACTCCGAAAATTTTTTTGGGGTGCTTCTCAAAACTTTTGCGGGTCCCCGACCCCTAAAATATAGAAAAAGGGGGCGTGGCGTCAGCCACGCCCCCGAAAAAAATTTTTTTACAAAGCTAATTTGAATTTTTAAAAATTTTTAAAAATTATTTTAATTATTTACAAAAATAAACAAGTCACTTGCACATTTTTATAACCCACATAGGTAACTTTCAAAAATTTCGCGACCCATTCTCGGGGGGGGGGGGCGCGCGCCCCCCCCCCGCCCCCCCCCCCTCGGTACGCCACTGGTCGGTGCAGATACTGAGCAGTCCATAGGTTCATCGACAACGGCTTTGGCAACTATAGCCTCAGCAACTTCAGCATTGGATGGTCCTTCTTTGGCTGCTGCCTGAATATCACTGTTCTAATTCCTATCATGAATGCTGATAATTTGTGACCACCTCTGAAATTTCGGACTCTTATTCGGTAAGATGGGGTGCCTTATATATATCCCAGTCGTTGCAGCCAAAATACTTTTTCATATAGTGATTTAAATAACGTCCTACATCGGATTTGCTCAAGGTGACATTATCCTGTTCAATGTATTGTTTTTCTTATTTTTTATGATCTTAGTGAAGTCGTAAACTAGGACTGACATCGAATAATCTCCTGGCGTCGTTCAAGTTGTTCACTAGGTGAGCTGAAATCTCGCCATAATTAATGTAGGAGACGTCTTCAGCAGTCTTTGAGAGTTCACCGCCGCTTGCCACTATTTCATCTATCAGATATTGTGCCTATTTTTTGTTTTTTCAGAAAAGCCTTCGGTGTGAATACAAGAACTCACGGCATTTATAAAGTGACCCGTGCAAATGAATTTCTGAGACTTTTTGAAGGTTGCGAAGTAAATCTTCAGCGTTTCCTCTGCGAGTGTTGTGTCCAATCTTAGCGCCGCAAGAAAGACTGCGTTTTGGACTGGGCTTTGGGATGTGCGTGTCGCAAATCGTGCTTCATTTTTGTTTCCGCACACGAAGCAAATATAATTCTTAGACATTGTCGTAAGGGTTAGCTATGTACCTGAAAACATTCGTTTTAGGGAATCTCGATCAAATTGATGAACGCGATTACACAGCTACGAAACGAGTAATCAAGCGTCTTTATGTCTCAAGCACTACAGGTTTGTTTCCTCTCACTATCTGTCATATGTTGTATGTAACGTAATTTCTTGGAAACTGTGTTAGTCATTATAGATACTGAGCTGCTGTTCTTTTCTTCATGATGTGAGTCGTGCAACTGCCTAAAACCGGGGCAATTATCAGCGCGGATGACGTAAAGGCGATCGAAGTTGCTCTTGGTGAATCCATTAGGGTTTTTAGCTTCCAACTTATAATTTGCAGTCACGCTTTTTGGAACACCTCAACTCATATTGTTCTGGGTTTGACAGCACTTTTGTGAGCGCATTGTTGGACGACGTCCTGCCGAGAGTAACACCATGTGATGAGGTTTTTGTTGAGAGAGAAGGGGTTAGCGAATAACCATAAATAATTGCTAGTGAGTGCTTTGATATCTGTTCTTGGATATACTGCTGTCTACGTAAGCAACAATTACTTCCTGTTAATCACGTTTTGTTATGTTTCATTTCTTCCCCTAAAAGGTAACCTTTCCAGATGAATCTCCTCTTGCATATGGTCATAGTATTAGTGGCGTGTGTGGTCCATGTCCTACTTGATAGCTGTGTACTTGCCGAAGTTTTCAGAGTTCAATGTAAAGGTAAGGAAGGTTACAACTTGGTTTCCTTTCGATTACTAATCTAATTTTTAAGATTTCTTGCTTCTGTCCGGATTGAAAATTGGTCGCCTTACTGCAAACTAGCTGAAACGTATGCCGAGACAAGACTCTGTTATGATGTATCTCTACAGTTTGAACATTCAGCTCGTCATTGAGAAGGCAGATGCTACCTCAATGCAATCGATGGGCTTATTCGCTTTTTCGATCACATATATACCCATCTCTACACAGAGTTGAATAAATACTTTATCCATTAGTGTCATCTCTTGAACTTATTCTGCATTATTTTATCAAAAAGAAACAAGCGCACAGCTCATTAATATACGGCAACTGACAGTTTATACATATACAACGATGTTTACTAAGTGTTTCATGAACGACGGTTCAAGTTTGGCACTCGCCACGATGTCAGATTAGGAAGAGAAAAGAGGAATTCATTTGCCATACAGAATAACAACTGTACAAGCGATACGATATAACAGAGATTGAAATAAAGATGGGGCGAGCATAAGAAAACTTTTGTGGAGCTACTGTCGCGTGCCTATAGAGCGGAAACACAATAATAAAAGTTGTACAGCAGATAACCTTCGACAACACACAGCCGCTGATGACTTATGGGGCGATCTCAGGGTCAGTGTCAAGTGTTGCATCAGCTTGAAACGATACGTATCACAGATTGAGGATCATAACACGAACACGGACCTAAAATATATAGTATGGTAAGCTTAGCCTCTTTTATAGCCATTAACTACCTCGGAGGCGCTAGCGAAGCACTGTGCACGAGCAGGGGGCAGATGGAGTGGTTTTATCGAACTGAGAATTATCAATTTGTAAAAAACCTAAGCAGTATTAGATCAGCTTATCATATTTATGCTATTACCGCAGAACTAAATGAACTGGAACACAAAATCGTGCTGATACGTGCTTTTTTTCTTGATACTTCCATGTCGGGATCAACCTGGATTGTCTTCTTTCTAAATGTGCGCTTGCCCACAATTCTCGCCTGCAACCTGGAAATAGTCAGAAATTACAATACTCATATCTGATCCAAAAATTAAGAAGAAAAACCTCGGAGATTAAGCCTCGTTGAGTAACGATTTATTCCCGACGAGACATCAATTGACAGTCGCTGGCGGTATGACGTATACTGGGAAATCTCCGAGTGGGCGGTACCAGAGAGAGGGGTGGAAGCGGAGATGGCGGCCGTGTACTTCGCGTTAGATTTTTGGGGGGTTAGGGTGTGCTTCGGGAGGTCGGATGTGGCCCATAGGTTTCATCAAGGGGTGTTCTCCTCTGCGGCGTCGTTTTCCTGCGGGCGTCATTTTGCCGAGGTACTGCCTTTAAGAAATGGATGGGTTTTTCGTGGTGTAGATGTATGAGTACAAGCTCTGGCCAACATTTTACGCTTTCTCAAAAAAAAAATTTTGGAGTGGAGACTTTTTTTGAGAATGCTCAAAAAATTGAAGTAATTCTCTTCATTTGCTTTTAACTCAGAACTATCTCAAATAAGTCGCGGAAAAGTACTACGGTAATGCGCAAATTTCTCTTCAAAATAAAAAACCTCCAGAATTTTTCGTGACCCACCTCGAAGAATGACCTTGACTGATTTCCTTCAATTGCTTCTAACTCTCGAATTTTCTCAAATTAACTCATGGCTGAGGCACATGTAAAGATTATGGATTTCTCTTTCAAACAAGGAGTCCATCGAGTGGCAAGGAAGTTATGGGTTTCTGAAAATGATGCGCAAGAACTTTCGGGCCGACCTAATACATAGAGGATCAATACTTTGAGTAGGCATGTAGGTTGAACAACAATTATTTTGAACCTGAATAGAAGATGTGGAAGATCCCTTACAGCGAAATATTGGGTTGGACCAAAAGTTCGTTCGTACCATTTTCAAAAACTCATAACTCTTTGCATTCTCAACGAATTTGTAAGAGCAAAATCTTGCCTAAGAGAGGAACTCATGCTCTTTGCATCTGTACCTAAACTGTTCGTTAACGATACAAACTAAGGAGATAGAAGCTCAAAACCAAAATCACTCAAAATTTGAATTTCGTGTAGGGTCATAAAAAATCAAACCTGCAACAAAAATCGGAGCAGTCGGTATTGTAGGTTATTTCACCAGCTCTTTACAACAGTGCAAAGTTTGTGCCGATTGAGCGTCTCTGTGAAAAGTTATGATTTCCCTGAAAAATGCCAAAACAAATCAAATTCGCCCTTTTGTATTGCTTGCTCAAAAATCAGAAATTTTCGTAAAGGCGCTTAATCGGCGCAAACTTTGCATTGTTAGAAAGAGCTGGTGAAAGAACCTTCAATACCGACTGCTCCGATTTTTGTTGCAGGTTTCCGATTTTTTATGACCCTACACGAAAAATTCAAATTTTGAGTGATTTTGGTTTTGAGCTTCTATCTCCTTCATTTGTACACATTAACGAACATCATTATTTTTTCAGGCAAAGATGCAAAGAGCATGAGTTCCTCTCTTAGGCAAAATTTTGCTCTTACAAATTCGTTAAGAATTTAAAGAGTTATGAATTTTTGAAATTGGTGCGAACGAACTTTCGGTCCAACCTGATACAAACCTCAAAAATACAGCTAAAACAATTTTGTGTAAGTTTACTCTTACAACAGAAACTGTGAAACACAACGATTGATGATTTCCGACAAGTATTAGATTAGCAGCTAACATACAGAAACTTCCATGACTTGTCTTTTTCTGGATGTAGATGCGCACAATAGTATCATGTAGACAACAGTGCGTCACCTCTGCTGCAAAGGTTCATTGATTGGTAAACCTTCCTCGTGCTCCCAGTGCTATTCTTGGAACTCACGCAATGCTGACCATCACGAATAAATTACAAACGACTACCTATTTCAAAAGCTTTTCTATGTTGAATCTGTAGCTTTGGGAGGAAGTTCTGTGTAGCTTTGGGAGAAACTTCTAGGAAGAATGAATACGGACTTTAAACGGTTACTAAGGTTATTAAGGTTTGGTAGCCGTCTTAGAGGACGATGAACACCTTAAACTACATGTTTGATAAAGTTCTTAACAGTTTCCTAAGTAGAACCCTGACCGAGCGACAATAACTCAGTCATCCTTACTACTTGCTACGCATATAATTATCAGCTACAAATCTAGAACAATATAGCAATTATTTTTTGCAGAAAATTGCAACAAGGAAGAAACCAGCAGTGTTCGAGTCGATTATTCGAATATTCGTCCATATAATTAATTCGATTATTTGAATAGTCGAATTTTGACACCCCATTTATTCGAAGATTCGCTCATTCGAATTACGAAATGTAGCACTATTCGAATATTCGAATTCGAATAATTTGAAAATCACAGATCGAATACTATTCATCGGATATTTTCAAAAGCCGTATTTGATATGCGTTCGTTCGACGAAATTTTTCGGTCGTTTCAACTATAATGTGGATGACCCCTTTGAGGGCAATAATTTCCGAAAGGATGGAGGATTTGTCTCCAAGTTCTCATTGTGGCAAGAAGAGATTACGAGCGTACCCATACCAAAAAAGGAACGATTTCATAATTTTGAAGGCAACTTAGGCCAGACACAAGGCTACAAAAGCTCAGGCAGCCTGACCTTTTGAAGGGTTGTGCCTGACCCCACTAACTTTATGCTCAAAAAAGCTTTTTTACCCGCTTTTTACGTCATTCGCTAGCACAACCCTCATAGATTGTACATTAGGTTTTTGATCTTACTTCGACTCTTTTGGCTTTGTGGTGAACCATAGAGATAAAGCACTCAAAGTGAAAACTGCAGCGGTTGAATTTTTGGCAGCACTTCCAAACTCATTTTTTGGACCACACAAAGCCTGATCTCTGGCGTAGACTAATAGAGAAAATTCCTTCGTAATGAGCACGAAAAGCAGCGAGAACATAGATTTAGGTATTAAAGTAATAAGAGAGAGAGAGAAATGAAGAAAAAATGAAGAACATAGTTATCATTCTTCTAGTGAGGCAGCCTGAAAACCTCTGCTACGCCATCGTTAAAGGCAGTGGCTCGGCAAAATCGAACATCTCGAAATTTTTATAAGGAAGGTTGCTTGCACCCCAAACGCGACAATGGAGCAGGTCCGACCGCACAGCATGCAACCCCTGCCTAGAAAATTGCCTCTCAACCCGTGCGCGCAAGCAATTCCTACACGAGCTCGGACGAGCTTGCGATCCCTCTCCCACCGTCAGAGGCGGCATGCCGCAATGCTAAAAAAACAAGGGTCTCACAACGACTTTGCGTCCTAACCATGGCGGGGAGCGTCCCACTCGTCCAAATTCAAATTGAGGAGGTATGGAAAATGCTGGTTCTCGCCATTTTCGTGCTCTAAAAGGCGGTCTTTCAGAATCAGCGCGTCGAGTTACCCCAGAAGCGAAAAAACCAAAAGTCGAGGATTTGCCGAGCCACTGCCTTCAAAGGGCAGAGCTGAACATTATTCTTAGAAGAGGTAATTTGAATAGAAAACTCGATCATTAGAATTAGAGGATCTAGTTGATCAAGTAAATTACTGGTCATATGAATGAAGTAGTTTAACGAAGTTTCAATCTGACAAGGGAAGGATACTAACTCAGATTCGCCTTTTGAGATAAGAGTCATAGCTTTGAAATCAGCTTTGAACGCTGATTCCAAATATGCTGTTCCCAGCTGCTTAGCGCTATTCTGAAACGAGTTATGGGCATCGGAATGTGAGTAATTAACAAACTTCTGAATGTCGTAAAACGGCGTGTAGCAAAAAGTGCTAGGATGCTGAACTAGCATCAGATTATTTCTTTCGATCTTGAAAGAGAGCATTATACAGTTGCAAAACCACCTACACGTTGACACCGTAGCATGAGTAGGTCAAGGAGCACGCAAACTTTGCGTAAAAAAGAGACCATAGCTCGCTTCAGAATGACGCTAAGCAGCCAGGAACCGCATATTTGAAACCAGCGGTCCAAGCTGATCTTAAATACTTGTGTATCATCTAAGAAGGAGAATCTAAGTTGGTATCCTTCCCTTGTGAGTGACCAGAAGTAGTTGAGAACTTGATTACCTTTTCAACATTAGAAGGATCTATTTTGAAAGGAATGTATCAGTTTCCAAATAACCAACCTAACGCTGTTTCCAATAATTAGGGTATTTGAACACATAAAAAACCTACTTTTGTCTGCTATCAGATTCGAATGAGTTTTTCATCTTAACTGCTCTGAGGTTGTCATTTTATCCGGAAACATAAGTAAAACATAACTCAAAATGCTGGAAATTCAGCTGCAGTCATTTACGGTTTACTTCATAGAAACCTAGAAAAAAAGATTTTTTTGTTTTTCGATCTCAGTTCTATTATTTTCAAATACAATGAAGCAGGTCTTACAGGGCTTGTACGCGATTCAGAATGAGGGCACCTGGAAGCAGTTGAGCGGAGCCGCACTTTGGCCTCGAGAAAGTGTGATGTTTTCAAAGGGTCTTCTGGAGGTGCCAAGTACCCCTGCAAGCAAAAGCGGCTGGGCTTTGGGAAATCCTGCAACGCCGTCTCCGAATACGACCCCCACATCAGGCGCGCTTGACCCCTCGCTCAACCTTGGTTTAAGCAGTCCGTGCGATCAATGAATCGGCGATACATTGGAGCCCTGGACCTTTTATTTCCAAACCACCCAGGTGAAGGGCGAAGCCACCTGATCCGCTTTTACCTTCTGGAGCGTTTTTCTCTTCGGATGTCTCTTCTGCAGCGGCACCTGTGGGATTCGTTAGAGGCCATGATCTCATCAACCTCAATTTGGGTGGACGGCCTTCAACGCCAACTTGTTGTTGCATGTTGTCAACATTTAGGCCTCGTGCCGCAAATTTCAGACGCACAGCGGAGGTAGCTGCAATCCTGGAGTAAAATGTCTTTCACAGAGGATGGCTACATTTCCCGCCGCGGTGGGGCGTGTATCTCAAAGTACAGTCGAGTAGATTTCCTGCTTAATATAGTGTCCCTGCAGACGCGACAACGCTGGGGCGTCAATAATTGCCTTGCGAGTTCCCGAGCTAGTGTTTTCAGTGTTTTCTTTGCTTATTCTATGTTTTTAGGTGACTCGTTGCTTATAAAGAAGAAAAGGGTAAGTTAGAGAGTATTTCTGTTTCTTGAGAAATTCTATCATCGCATATTCACAGATATCCGCGTGGAAGCAGTTCGCGTCAGCTTCTTGTCAATTTTTTTGTTACTTCATGTCTCTTTCTTCTTGTGAAGTACTTCTTTGAACGCTAGTGGGTTTTTACGATTGACCTATTGTCTTTATCACATGAAGTACTTGATTAAAATGCCATTTCTTATGGGTGAAAGCCGAAGTTGCTGCAAGACAAGCCAACTAGCGTTCAAAGAAGCGCCTCATAAGACGAAGGTTCGAAAGAAGAAGTGACAGAAGAAAAGGAAATGACAAAAAAATAGACAAAAAGCTGACGCGAAATGCTTTCACGTGGATATCTGTGAATATGCGATGATAGAACTTCTCAGAAAACAGAAACTACTCTCTAACTTACCCTTTTCTTCTTTATCAGCAACGAATCACCTAAAAACATAGAATAAGCAAAGAAAACACTGGAAAACACTAGCTCGGGAACTCGCAAGGCAATTATTGACGTCCCAGCGTTGTCGCGTCTGCAGGGACACTATATTAAGCAGGAAATCTACTCGACTGTAGCTACTCCCGGCTGTTGCTATCGCTACATTACAACCTTTCAAAGTTTTCTAGGTTTTAAGTTGTTGCAAATTTGAGGATGTTACCCAGATAATCGCGTGCAAACATTGACATCTTGGAGTGTAGAATCTATAAGCCTTAAAAACGCAGCTCCAGCAGTTTCTTTGGTAATTAAATCATTTTCAAATAGCAGCAGCAGACTTAGCAGAGATGACGGGTAGGCAGATAGATAAAGACTTTGTATACTGTTTTTGACTCTCACGCACGGGTGTTGAGCTTTTGGCAGCATATAATTGTAGGGCCCCCTACGAATCCAATGCCCAAGTCGCGGCGCAAAATGCCGCTTCGGAGGCGAGAAAATCGCTTTGAAATAGCGAAGATGCACGAGGACCCCCATCCATGCCTGCCCCCCCCCCATCCATGCTCCATAATTGTAGGGTCCCCTACGAATCCAATGCCCAAGTCGCGGCGCAAAATGCCGCTTCGGAAGCGGGAAAATCGCTTTGAAATAGCGAAGATGCACGAGGACCCCCATCCATGCCCGCCCATTTGTGTGCGCCCATCCAATCACCATTCCGGAAAGCCGCCTGTGGTTCTCCGGAACGGGGATTTTCGAGGTTTTCGCGCATTCTCGACTTCATATTCGGAATCAGGGACATGAGAAGGCCCAGAAACGACAAAAACGTGGAAGTCGAAAATTTGGGTGGACGGTGCCTCTAAAGGCAGTGTCCGGGTAAAAAGTCGATTTTGAGATTTTGTGTTTATCCGGGCCTATTCACTATGCTGAATCCGAAAATCCGCATTGAAAAGCGCAAAAACGGCAAAAAAGAGCTCTAACGCAGGAGGAAATCGAAAGTGGGCGGGGTCCTCCCCACTGTGAATTTCGCAGTCCCAGCTTCTGGAGCGATCTTCCCAATTCCTCTAGCGCCCTGAGATCTCCACCGGCCACGTGCAAATGCATGTTGAAAACGAACCAAGAAGATCGCTCTGGAAGCTGGGAGCGTGAATTCACAGTGGGGAGGACCCCGCCCACCTGCTGATTTTCCTCCTGTGTTAGAGCCCTTTTTCGCCGTTTTCGCGCTTTCCAATGTGGATTTTCGGATTCAGCATGGCGAGTAGGCCCGTATAAGCACAAAATCTCAAAATCGAGTTTTTGCCCGGACACTGCCTTTAAAGGCAGCGTCCTACCACACTGGGGGGGGGGGGTACCTGGCTCTGGTAGTGTTGTAGTAGTAGACCCCCTAATTAAGCGGCGACAGAAATTTGCAGCGCGAAAGGGGGTCTACGAAGTCCACAAATCGCCCCTCAAGTGGCCCGAATCTGGTAGGCTCGGGCGAGTACGAGATGCATGCAAGGTAGAGACGCAGAGTCGTTGTGGGACCCTGCACTCATGGCTGTGTGCGCTATGCGTGCTCTGGCCTTGCAGTTCGAAATTGATCTGTGGGCGGCGTTTGGGCCTACCGTAATTCGGGCCACTTGGGGGCGATTAGACTTCATAGACCCCTTTCGCGCTGCAAACTTCTGTCGTCGCTTAGTTAGGGGGTCTACTACAATAATCCCAGAGCCAGGTACTCCCCAATCTGGTGGGACGCTGCCACAGTTTTGAGTTATTGAAGGAGAAATCATGCCTCCACTGTCTACCAATGATTCTTGAAGTTTCTAGGAATTATGCAGTGAATACAAAGCCGTTTTACATCGGATAGGCACTGTGCCACTATAGGGCAACTTATAACTGGGAGATAACACAACACGTCGCTATGAACGTTTATTGTGACACTGCCGAAGCTTACACCCCGCTGACCCCTGTTGGCCCGTACCCGCCCGCTTTACTGCAGGTTGATTGATGGTACGGGTTCGGCCACCTAAACAGCAAATGGCCGAACATGGGAGATAACACAACACGTCGCTATGAACGTTTATTGTGACACTGCCGAAGCTTACACCCCGCTGACCCCTGTTGGCCCGTACCCGCCCGCTTTACTGCAGGTTGATTGATGGTACGGGTTCGGCCACCTAAACAGCAAATGGCCGAACAGGCACAATCACAAGAGGTAAACACCGACGTATGTATATATGTCAAGTGCTCGTAGCAGTAAGCACTCACTTTGAGAGCACTTGCAGACCTCGCCCGCGTGATGAGTCAGGGTGAGGGGTGCAGAGGCTACATATCCATTCCTCCATCCGTTAGATGCTGAACTCACGCAAAATCGATCGCACTTACGCGAGCTCGAGCTCAGCGACTAAAATTTGGTGCTTCGGCTGAGCCGCGACGCGCGTGGCTGGCGATGCGGTGAGGGGAATCAGAGGCACGTAAGGGAATGCGCTGCGAGTGCTTGGTCCATCTATCTGTTCTTTGTTATATGAAATTTACTCGGGATTCTTGTACGTCTATGATAGAATCACACATCCATATGAAGGGGAGCATTGTGGATCTTCGTTAATGTTGATGAACTTGTTATTTACGTTGGAGCAATGCTTTTCAAAATTCCTCGATACCAGTAACGCATGCTTTGAGCTGCCATGTCCGCCTCTGTCTCGATCTTAAAGTCAGTGACGTTTACTTCGTTCGTTTTAATCTGCGGTTTGTGTGTATGCCTTCCCGAGATTCAGATGGTAGTTTCTCAATCCACATCGTCTACCTGTATTTCTGAAAATTTAGAGGATGCAGGCCCTGTACCAACTCACTGGGACTACCGGACAGTCTTTTCAGACTCCGGCTCTGGGAATGGGCTTGATTCCAGGTGTTCCTGCATTTTTTCAACACTTTCACACCGGGCAGCACCCACAGCTTGTAGCTGTTTCTGCAGGTAGCCATCTATTATTACAGGGTATCAAATTCGTATATAGTCTTAATGTCTATGTTGGATATGATGCCATTGAGTATTTGAATGCTTTTGGGACTTTTATACTCAACTCGATTTTAGGGTGAATACAGAACCGTAACATTGTTTTTATAGACCATTTGTACCATTTTGAGTAATCAAGATTGAATGTCAACACATTTTGGACCTGTGTGCAAAGTTGAATTCTCTAAATTTCCGCAGGATCTTTTGTCAAGTTCAAGTACATCAAGTCAGAGACTAAGTTCACTTTGAAATGAATCACTGGAGCTGTGCTGGGCGTATCCAGGCGTTTACGCCATATGAACAAATTGAACAGCAGTTGCAAGATGGCGAGAATGCAGACTCGTACGCGGCACTGCAAGTTTTATCTGCTTGATTTTCAAGAAGAAACCAGTTTTGTGGTAGAATTCATATCGAGCGAGATAGATTTGAGACTAATCCATTGTTTTTAACTTCCAACGAACAGCAGCCCCTTTGAGCCACAATATCAAGAGCTTTGACAGTTAATTGATAAGCTGATTATTCACTCATTCGAAATTTCTTTCCTTCGACTAGATGGAGGAAGTACAGGCTAGTTGGCCACGCGCAATTTCGAGTTCTGGAAGTGTCAAGATGTCCACCTACCCTCTTCCTCCCCCCTCTTATCCTTGCAAGAAGTTAATTCCGAAGTATAAGAAAATGGTGTTTCTAAGATTTATCATTCTGTGTGATGAGGGTAACTACGGATTGGAAATCCACACGGACCTTACCTTTTTATCGAAAATGTTTTCTGTGTCGCGCTTTTGCTTCAAAGAGTTCTAACTACGCGTTCGTTTAGCATCGCTTGAAATTAGAATTCGGATTGTTGGACGTGTGATTAGCCCTTGTTTATTTTGTGCCGCAGGGTAGTATTTTGAAAAGCAACACCTTTTTATTCTTCAAATAAATCTCGCCATGTCTGTACAGGGTTCTGCTAGATCGTGAACTTCGGTGAAGTTGCGGTCATTGCTACGCAGAACGCCAGATGGCCGCAAACCACTCAGACAACTACCGTGCTTTTCAAATCGCTTCAGGTAGTGAAAGCATTTTGATAGCAGAAGAGCGTTTGGCAGGAGAAGGAAGTCTAAGGAAGCTGAATGCGCGAGCAATGACCGCAGACCTATGACTTTCATCATCATGCAGAGCCCTATACCTAGCCCCTGAATGAAGGTTTGCAGGTTTGTAATTTGAATCAAATGTCTTTACGTTCCAGTTTGAATCATATGTCCGCGAAGTTAGAAGCATGACTGTTGCTTACTTACAGGGACGGTTTTTTGTTAATTGTGGCCGTTAATGGGTTATTTTCTCTCTAAAGTTCGATTATAGAAACTTCTTTTTGTATGCGGAACGATTGTTTGATCGGCGTCCAGATTTGTGTAGCGACGGATCGCGGACTTCTGATAAGGCGAATAGAATTGTTAGACCTCCACGTTTGCCACGTTTGTACATTGTTTTCCGCACACTCTCGCTATCAAACTTGCTACGCTTTGAGCTAGTACGACTCCGCCTGTATGCAAATGGAGTGATGGTCATGAGTGTCGTCGTTTTTTTGAACCTACGCACTCTGCAAGATTGGGAAAATATTATAAGTGCACGGTTTTTTGAGAAGATATCACTAGCGCAAGGTTTTTTTGGCGCCAGAACGTTTCTATTTGGAACGTTTCTATTCGCGTGCGCCACTCTCGACGCGGAGCCTAACTTTGGAGACTAGTTCAGCAGTAAAATTAACTGGTAGTTTGAGGATTTCAGCTCGCTGTTTCTCAAAACTCAAAATTGAAAAGCTCTATGATGATGCCGGATGAACTTCGAGTCATTTTCACATTCGCAGCAAAAAAGCCGAAACTGTTTGGTTGCAAAGACTTCATATTAGAAAAACAACTATCATTTGCCACACAACATTAAAGCACTTTGGGCACGTCATATCCTTTCAGCGTTCACCGGGATAGCCTAGTATCTTAGGTTAGAAATTCGCATATGCTTGTAAATCGCTTAAAAGCAGTAGATTCAAAGGTGGACCCTTCTCGGATTCTGGTGGATTTAGGTATAGTAGGCGTCATCCGTCTAGTCACTGGTGCGATGTGTGTTACTGCACACAAATTTGAAATTCCGGATGAGGTGCTGGGGTCCCGCCGTGCCAAACTTGCACCAAGTGCGCAAACGGCTTAAATTTGACGCCAAAGTGCCTGTTTTTCTTATTTTGATGCTTTTTTCTTTGTTTCCAGCTCCACGCATGGTCTAATGCTTGATGATTTGTCACCTTTTTACTCGTGCATGCCGTTTTAGCCCAGATATTCAAAATTTATAACTTTTGCTTCTAGGTAAAAAAGGCAGATGGGCAATCTTTCAGGATTTTGAAGTAAGTGTGCATTCTTCAGTATTGCCCTATCTAGAAAGAGTAGAGTCTTTTTTAGGCAGTACGAGTTTCAACTTTAATCTGACTAGCGACCCGTAGGGTCGCTAGCAAGTGGGTCGGGTCAGATACAATATAAGGGCTTAGTTTTGATTATACATATTTCTAAGTAAGTTTCTCATTCCTTTGAACATTTTTGCGAAATCAATTCTGACAGCAACGAAATCAATCGTCTAACAATAAGAACTTTGTCAGAGAATCCTTCAATTTTTTCGCCAAAGGAATATGAAGCTTCACTAAAAAAGGGGATTCCTCCCCGAAAAGCACGACTACTGACAATATAAGGGCTTAGTTTTGATTATACATATTTCTAAGTAAGTTTCTCATTCCTTTGAACATTTTTGCGAAATCAATTCTGACAGCAACGAAATCAATCGTCTAACAATAAGAACTTTGTCAGAGAATCCTTCAATTTTTTCGCCAAAGGAATATGAAGCTTCACTAAAAAAGGGGATTCCTCCCCGAAAAGCACGACTACTGAACCACCTAAAGACTGTCAATCATAAGAACTGCACAAACGTACAAATTTGTTTCCCTGTCGATCGAGCCCTACGTGCCGCTTACAAACCAATATCATCTATTTGAAAGATAGTTCATGCCCCAAGCCGCTCGAAGACAGTTTAAAAATTATAAGAACTGCCCAAACGTACAAAGATCTGTTCCCCTGCTCGATCGAGTTGCCCTACGTGCCGCTTACAGACCGATAGTAACTATTCAGAAAGAAACTTTATGCCCTATGCGCCGCTTGAAGACCTTATATAGAAGAAAAACCAACCTTACGACTTTACAGAAAGAAAATACAGAAAGAAAACAACCAAATCAAGTATTTACAGCGTATTCTCAAACCGGTGCGTCACCTCCGCTTCGCGGAGGTTCGCGCTGGCTCTCCTATCCGTTTGCCTTTCTCATGTTCGCATAATGATGACTTTGAAACCCACCATGCGATGCTGAACATCACAAATGAATAGTAAACAACTGTTCATTCTTGAAGCATCTCCACGTAAGATCGGTAATTTGAGAGAAAAAAACTTGTCGCAAAGGAACACCTGCGAATTTGATTAGATTACTGAATTTGTTTGGCTTGGTAGTCGTCATAAGGTAGTCACTTTGAGCTAAATTTCCGCGCAAAAATCTTTCCAAGTCTCAAGGTAAAACCTTGCCAAATCGACTGTCTAAGCGATCACCACTTCTTGGCGCTGGTGTCACAGAAAAGCAAACTTTTTGAGCGCTTTTGGGCTAGAATTCATGAGGCGCAGATGTCCTTGTCAGGCAAATCATGACTTCGCCAAAAGTCGAATTGAGGACCTAGTTTTGCGTGCCAAAAGCCGCGTGGGCCCGTTTGACGCGCAGTTTTTAAAGGTCCCAAATATCGGATCAGCTTGTGCTTTTGTACTTCTTACCCCTACATGCTGGTAGAGTGCCATGACCAAAATTTCAGCTCAAGACCTTGCCTACAAAACGCGCTATGAATTTCGTGACAGACAGACATAAACACCACACACACACAGACAGACACGCGCTTTATTATATATTCTCAAATTGCCGTACATGCCACTTTTGGACTTTCAATTTTGAGAACTGCCCCAAACGTAAAAAAATCTGTTCCCCTGCCCGATGGAATTGCCCTACGTACCGCCTACACACCGATGCCTAGTTGAAAGCACTAGCGTGACCCAGTTACACAAGCAAAAGCAAGGATGTTGTTAGACGCTTCCAAAAGTACCACCGAGACCAAGTTACTCACACTCTACACGCGGAAGCAAGATTATCCTAAAGTAATTGTTCCTAGTTAGAGCATTTTTACCAAGAGTTGAAAACATAGATGAATTCAGCTCAAGTCACGCTGTTACGCAATTTGGCATTATTTCAAAAGCAACTAATAGGGTACAACATATTTGAAAGACACATTCTGGGATAACAAGCTCGAAAAAGCGGGTACAAATAACACACCCGGACACTGGCGACCCAGTCTCAAAATCATTGCGACAGTCATGATTGCCTTTCGAAATACGTGTGACCCTTTTACGAAAATATGCTTGGTCACTCGTTATGAAATTTGGCAGCGTTCCAAAACGCATGCCACTTGGCAGCAATCCAGAGTCAAAGATCAGTATATTTCATCATAATTTCTCCATCTGCTGTCTCCTCGTTTGCCGTATTTCACGGATCAGGGGTAACCAAGCGGTAAACAACGAATCCAGAATTTATTACGTAGTGATTGATATCGAGAATTCTGGTTTTTTCATGCCGAGTTTTCAATGGGGAGCTGTTTTCAAACAAAGGATTGCTTCCAGCAGAAATTCGTACTGCCTAAGAGATACCTACTCTTTGTACATACGACTATACTGAAGAAAACACACTCACTTCAAAATCCTGCAAGATTGCCCATCTGCCTCCCTCACCTGGAAGCAAAAGTGATAAATTTTGAGATAAAGTCGATTGCACGAAATTGCCCGGGTCGCTGTAGGCTGAACGCACTCGAGCGTGCCTGCCGCGGCTGCCGAGTGCGGGCGCTATAATGACTCATGCGCGCGAA